GGCCTTGAGACAGTGCCGAGAGGGAGTTGGCCTGTCGACTGAGCGATGGTATGGCTATGGTATGGTGATGGTGTGGATATGGTGGTATATCGATCCCAGGATCGAAACCTGGCTCTGGAATGGGAATGGGATGGAATGGGTGAGAATGGTGTTAAAACTTGACCAACCATTATTATGAACTTGATATGCTAATACATAGGAAACCCCAGCTTTATAGGTTCCTTTTGATTATATCCAACTTGCATCCAATTTCCACAAAGCAATGCTCATAGGGTTGGGAGTGGCCAGTACAAATCGTACTGATAAATTTTGGCACACAGGTTCTGCTGAGGAGTATAGCTCCAAGGAGTTTGACGGTTGAGGGGTTCGTTCCTACGCTCGAGTTTGGCGATCTTATCTTCAAGCTGTTCTGAATGAATGCTACTTTTGATTCCACCAATGCGGCGATGTAATAAATTATGTAATTCCGCACTATTTGTACTCTGATGTTATCGTTGTATGGATGTGATATTCGACTGGAATTTGGGTAATATGATCTACAACGGTCTTATTACACTTTGACTCTGTGGATTTCCCTTCGTGGAAATCGGGGTTGTTTCAAGGACCATCAGAAATCATGTAGTACTTGATGATGACACACGCACCTGAGTTTGTGTACCCTGAGGAGCATCAGCAAGATGAGAACCCGCCTGCTCGTCTTGCTCTTAAGTTGGATCATCGATGTCATCATGACCTTCATCGTCGTCGTCTTCGTCATCCCTACATCTTAGATGGGAGCTCTCTAGTCTATCAATCACCGCCCTTTGGCTTGTACGGGTTTGTCGTCCTTGCTACGATCCGGGAGGTGGCACTTGTACATCTTTGGCTCACATGCAACTCAACTTGCAAGCCATCCGTCGATAGGATGTCAACACCTTCTGCAACCATGGTCATGTGAAATGAGAAGTGGTTACATATCGTTTCGGGTGAGTAGGAAAATACATAGGCATAGGGGCATTACCTTGGCAGATTATTCAAGGTATGAATTCTCAATCCCTCCTGCACGTCCAAGGTAAACTCTGGCCTCATTAGAAATGTGAGCTAGCTGATTTGCCTAGAGTACATGCATAATCATCATTAACACGTACTTTCCAAGTGAAGCTGCATGAAGGCATAGTTCTAAAGAAATGCTTACCATGTACTTCTCAAGTGGTGCTCTCTCTGGCTGCACGCTCGTCCTTGTCACGACATCATAGGGGTCGTCGTCGTCGCTCCCTTCTTCATCTATTGGAATGCTGGACAGCAGTGGATGCACACTGATTCTGGTGGACCTGTGAAGCCACGCCAGGTGCTCACGGTACTCAGTGGACAAAGACTGAGCCCCACTATCCGGTTCCACCCTCTCTCTAGCTTCCCACTATTGCACGTATTTTTCATGCTTGACAAGCCAGTTGTTGCCACCAAACCTTTTCCTCCTCGACACCCTACAAGGATGACACATATTACATTTTGAGGACCTGTACGAAGCATGCAATGGTGAGTCATGATATATGCAAAGTCCAGCTTACTCATGCATCTGACGGGTTGTCGACTCGTGCTGTAGAGGAAAATTTTGTTTCCTACCAAACTGCTTCATCACTCTTTAGGGCAGGTGGTGCTCGACCACATAGTACAAGATCATCGATACATTGGATCACCACAACACCTTCTCAGCCTCAACATGTGGGGCCATTTTCAACTCCCGTATGTCTCACCTGTCATATGGATCCCATTCAACCTATAACTTGTGTTACTTAGTACATGGCCTTGTTCATACTTTGGGAAGAAAAGAAATGGAAGCATTGGTGGTACAATGAACCTGATTCGGAGTTAAAACATCCAAATCATTGGAGTATTGAACGTAGCGACGTTGTGGCTAACCCTGAACCAACTTAATTGCCCTCCAAAGGTAGCATACGGGGGGCAACAGTCACCATGTGTCCAAGCCTGCAAAAACCAAAGAATTCTAAGGATGTCACATAGTGCATGCAACATATGAAACACATATACCAAATAAATGCAAGGTACTTACCGAAACTTGGCCTCTATGCACCCGTCCGATAGGAATGCGCTCCCAAATCCAAATCTGAAGCAAGTATGTGCAACCACCTATGTTTGAATTGGGGTTGGCCCTCCTACATCCCTCACATAGCTGCCGATATAACCAAGCAAGAGTGGCAGACCCCCAACTATATTGGGTGATGTTTTCCCATGGCTCACGCAGCTGGGGTACGACCATCCATGAGATGGTGTTCCCAGAAGCGTCTAGAAAGAGGAAGCTTGCGACCATGTGACACAGTCAAACACGAGCGTGCCTCTCAACGACGTCCGTCGGTGCATGGGGTGGCACCTGTTAAAGCGCTGCCGCAACTAGGCTAAGCTGACACCTGAAGTCTTCTTCTCCTTCCCTTCTTCAGGGTTGGGTGGACAGTGGTCGGTAAACTGCTCCACCATATCCTTCCAGTTCTCTGTATCTACCGTGCCTGTCACTGCCGGACCGTCCAAGCGAAGGCCCAAAATGTAGCCAACGTCTTGCATGAGCACGGACATCTCTCTAGAGGGTAGGTGGAAGCTATGGGTCTCTGGACGCCACCTGTCAACGAAGGTGGTGATGAGGGGACCATCCATGTCTGGGAGGCCAGCATTGATAGCTCGAGCTAGACCCAAAAAACTAGCTTTGGCTCTTGATAGGTACTAGGTGTAACGCTCATCCCACTTGAGCGGTTGGTGAGTTCAGGGACGTAGCGGGACCAAGGCCTTGAAAAAAAGAACGTTACAATCGATAGCAGGGTTAACACATTATACATGACAACAAATTATTGTGTGTAAATGACTTACTACACCGTCGTCGACCATCAAGTGCGCTCGGTGGTCCTTGTTGTAGTTGGTCTCAAGAAGGGGGAAGTGCGGGCGCGCCATGCTGCAATTGTGAAAATGATGACACAACGTTAGAATATGGAAAAAGTAAATGAAACATGCTAGATGGTACAAAAACAACGAACAAATGCATGGAATATATAAGCAACACCTATTTGAATCTATGTATGTACCTTTATAACCCTAGAACCACTATGACTCCCGTTCTGTGTTTCTAATTTCTTTGACTTCTTATGCTTGTTATGTGTGGCAGCGGTATGATCGGTTTTGTGGCATTTGGAGCAACAAACTTGTCCCGGTGCCTCATCAAAGTCGCCAAAACCATACATGTCTTCACCATACTCGTTTGATGCATTCATAACTCCTTAGAGCCGATTCTTCATCCTTCTACCCTTCTTTGTCTTCAGAAGGTCTGGGTTGGGAACAAATCCAACCCGTAGTACTTGGGCCATTGTGTCGGATCTAGGTAAGGCTCGAAGCTCGACTCCCACACTTTGAGAGTGTTTGACATGAGGTAAAAAGGAGACATGAACTTTTCACTTTCGTGGTCTAGACCCCTGCATCTGTAAGCTATAATGACATGCGAGCAAGGCACATGGAAGAGTTGTGGAATGTTATAATAGCATTCCGCTTTCTCAAGGTCCACCCTATAATTCCTACCACCATACTTCTCGCCCCCCCTCGGGTTCGTTCCTCCGGTTGACCTGATATTGTACACTAACCTCGATGGCCCAAAGCCCTCCCCCACTTGGTTGGAAGCTATCTTCTCTGAGAGATCCAAGTGTTTTCTACTGGTTCTACCCCATTTCTTTTTGGATGCCTTTGCTATGTTCCATCGATTGACAAAGTATTCCTTGCACTTCCTGAATGAGTACTCCATAATACCTGACATGGGGACTGCACGGATACCCTTGAACACCTTGTTGAATGATTCTAAAGAATTGGTAGTCATCACGCCATACCGAAGACCTTCGGCATCGAATGCAAGAGCCCACTTGTCCCTTTGAGGCATCTGATCCTGAAGCCAACTCTTTGCCCTAGCATTGAGGACCTTCTGTAACTCCACAAGCATCTCTTCAAACTTCTCCTTGGTTCGACACCCACATAGTGACTTCAACTTCTGCACTACCTCCTTTTTCTTTCGCCTCCTCCATATGTTGGTAACAAAGTGCCTCATGCACCACCGATGCTCAAGAGGAGGGCATCCATCTACATGCTCTTTCATAGCTATCGGCAGACTGTGATGCCAATTTGAGATCATGCATATGTTCTGAGATCAATGGAGCACATTCTGTCTCACAAGCTTCATGAACCAACACCAGCTGTCGTTATCACCCTCAGCCAAAGTGAATGCTAAAGGGACAAGTTGATTGTCTAGGTCCACTCCAACGGCAATCATCAATACACCCCTGTACTTCCATGTTAGGAATGTACCCTCAACAAGTACTAAGGGACGACAATGCTTGAAGGCCTCCACGGACTGAGGAAAACACCAAAAAACTCTCTGCAGAACATGCTTCAGAATGCCATCCACGTCCATGACAATGTGACCCACATAAGGATACCACCTAAGGCCTAGATTGTAGTGTTTCATGGCACTTAGAATCCTAGGAACTTGGTTGTATGCCTCTTTCCAATCGCCCCATAGCAACTCTATAGCATGTTGCTTTGCCTGCCATGCCTTTGAGTACTTGACTCTATAACCAGTGAACCCAAATATGGTCTTGATCATGCTTGAAACTGATGTGTCACTATCAGCCCTAACTACGCCAACAAGACGATGACTAGGGTAATGGGCTATGTTTTGGGCGTGCACACCCTTCGGCTTCGAAGATCGACACGTGTGAGGTTGCCTCATATTGTGAATCTTCCACTTTTCATTTCTCTGCCTCCGAGCCCATAGACCCCATTGACATCCATTCTTGCAAAGGACCGTGTACCTCTTGTTCTTGTCGGAGTGGCTCACATAATACGACCTGTGAAACCGAATGACACAATCCATCAGGAAATACTTCAGATGCTCCAATGTATCAAATACCATTCCCTTCTTAATCTCCACCTCCTCACTGTCTGGTACCTCATCAGCCAACAACGTCAAACCGGTGTCACATAATGTCCATGAAATTTGGTATCGAGGGTACCTCCACATGGATAGCCTTCAATTGCCTTAACTCAACATCATTGTACTCCATTCTCAATGACCCATCAGCTGGGTCTCCTATTGCGTCCAGAAACCCTCCCTCACAACAATCACTTTTGTCCTCGCTACTAGGCTCGGACCTGTACTCGTCCTCCAAAACATAATCCAAAGTACTTGGCCCCGAAGTCAAGTCATCTTCATCCGTGGGGGCAACATCAACTTAGTCATCCTCCGATCCTTGGGATATGTCATCCATATCATGTGTTCCATCTCCGTTGCCACCATCCTCATCAAACGTTTCTTCATTGAATCATCATTCAAGGCACTAGGCTCACATGACCTATCAACTTCTCTAACGACAACTGCATGTAACTCTTCATCTTGGGTAAGGTTCTCTATGAGCTCCATATCCACATTATCATCCACAGCCACCACAATTGGGCTACACCCCTTCTCCACAACAACTTCCAAGCACCTAACACTACTACTCTTGACAACTTCTACATAGTTCTTCCATTCATCCTCATGTGACAAAGACATCAACACATAGTGTGCTTGTTCCTTCCCGCAATCAAATCGACCTCTCAATCTTAGTGGCCACCCAAATTTATCCTAGCATTGGCTAACCAAACCATCAAAGGTAGGAGGTGTACTAAAGAATTGAATATGTTCTTGCATATTTTCAAACTCCCCATTTCCTTTAACTTTGCCACCATAAAATAATTGCACTAACCGATCCATCTACAAAATAGGAACAAACACATCAACAACACATGAACTACACATTTTAGAAATAAATCATATCCATTCAATAATACACTACAATAACACCAACTTCACAGTGATGTCAACAAAGGCAACAAACATACCGATCTAAATCCACCATGCATCAACTACCTACGTCCATGCAACACCTAGTTTACGTCCAATCCACGGGTAGAGTATATCCTAAACCTAATCTACGCATCAAATACTAATAAGCAATGATAAAACCATTCACACCATCCCTAATTTCCTAACCCTAGTCATGCAACTCATGAGGCAAGAAATCAAGAAATCGAGGGAGGGAAGATCAACCTAGCGGTGTACTTGAGTCCACAGAGTAGGGAGGTCGCGGACCACGCTGGGAGAAGCCTTGCCGGCGGCGCCGACAATGCGGGGAGCCGACCTGCTCTCCCTGGAGTTGCTCCTCTGTCGTGCGAGGGAGAGGGAGAGAGGGTAGTAGGAGCAGCCGCTCAACTCGCTGGCGGCGCGGGCGGAGATGGCTGGGGTGACCGGGGACGTAGGGTGGCGGTGGCGGTGCCCAGGCGCGTGGTCGAGTGAAGGAGAGGGAGAGCAAGAGAGAGAGGAAGGAAAGTGGGCCGGGCCAGCCAAATCCTATATGACCCCGTCGTGCCAGCCCACCTGTCATGCCTGAGTCGCTGGCATGATAGGGCGGGCCCCACGGACCGCCACGCCAGCTCCGGTCAACGATGCGTGCCGCTGTGGCGCCCCTTGTCACGCCACTGCATGTGGCACGACAAAGTGGTGCAGTCGTGCCAGCGCGGCTGGCGCGACCAAAGGGGCTACCTTGAGCAATTTCTTTTTAGGAGCAGTTATTATTAAAATATTGATTAAAAAGGTTTAAAATAAATCAATGAGAGCACTTAAAACCAATCAATCCGCATCTTTAATGAAATTGAGCTGCGGACTGGGTGACAATGCCATGCTTATCCATGTTTGTTAACAACACCTTATGTACTTTGTAGTTTGTACCTATCATTTTCTCCTGTAGTTCTGATTGCATGTAGAACTTCTTAGAGTTCCCAACTGTCATAACAGGTTGAGCCACCTGTTGCCACCCTCCAAACTAACCATGCAGTTCTAGGTTAGCTACAATCTGTGATACCTGCAGTAGGTATTTCTTTGGTTCCCCCCTTTCACCACAGGTATTTATCGTATTCATGGCTAATGTTGCATATTGTGAAATAGACAATACAGGAATACCAAAATGTAGGGGAGAACTTGGCACTTGGCAGGCTAATAAGGATTGGTGTAACACCCCTAGTGTGAAGCATCACTAAAACTTGATCATATCATCATCATGCATAGTAAGCATTCTTAGTAGTTAACCATGCTTTGCATCTACTAAAAACAATGTTAATTGGGTAGCAAAGCATTGCATGTGTGATGTAATGTGTTAAAAACCAAAAATCCTTTTAAGGTACTTTGTGACCTTCTAATTTTGAATTTCACCAAAATACTTGGAATTATGCCCTAATAAACTTTGAGGTGTAAAGTGTGTACTTTACACTAGTGTCAAGTGTAGGGTATGAATCCAAGTCCAAACCATTAAAATTTGAGCTCCAAACTTGAATTCAAACTTAAGTTTCAAGCACTTAGGCAATTTGGTGAGGCTAGGCCAGCAGATGCTTACTTTGTTTGAGAACATTCAGGCTCGGCAGGATTCCTTCCAGGACCGCATGCTTGCTAGTGAGGTGCGTCACTTTCACTACTTTGACCTCATTCTATAGTAGACAGGCATCTCACCTCCACTGCCTCTAGTCCAGATAGCAGCTCCTGCACCGGTTCAGAGGGTCTCTTTGGCCCCAGCTATATGATACAATGTACTTCAGGTATAGAGCTTCCTAGGTGTCTCCGATCCACCCCATGACCCTTGACTTCTCCTCTCTAGCAGCTCAGGGTGTGGATCCGAGGATTACCGATGTGTCTCAGCCTCTCCCGCTTACAGCTACTCAGATACCGTCAGTGATCGTGGTGACTACAATAGTTCAGACTTCTCAAATAGTCTCTGCCACACATAGCCAGGTGACAGGAGAGTCTTCGTAGACAATGCCATCCACTCTAGTTCCTATGCTACCTATAGCTCCACCTCAGATAGGCACCGACGACACTATACCTTCTTCAGTTGCCTCATCTAACCCACAGCAGCAAGCAGTCCCAGTGAGTCAGCCTCCTCCACCTGCTACTTCAGAGGCTCTAGTGACAGTGACAGTGACAGTTGCAGCTACAGCGCCCGTCGGTCAGCCAGAGAGACAGAGTTCAGATTTAGACCTTGACTATGACCAGTTCAAACTTATACCGCGCACCTCTGCACCTAACACTACTGCACCTACCCCACCTCAGGACCCTTAGGTTTTGGTGCTTGACGCCAAAGGGGGAGAGGGTGAGAGTATGTGAGATAGGGGGAGAGCTTGTGAGAGGATTTTGATATCTTTGTGTGCTACTCCCATATTTTGTTGCATGCATGTTTACATTTCCGCTATGCATTGTATTATATGTGTGCTTGCATGTGTGATGTCTTGTGAGACATGTTGACTTATCGGATCATTTTATTTATATATCATGTCTCTTTGTTGCTTGTTTATTATGCTTATGCCATACTCTGATGTTAAACAAGCAATTACTTTCTTGTACTCGCACTTAATTCTTATATAGAGTACATGTTGTGGACTTGGTATGCATAAACTTGCTCTAACCCCTTTGCTCTTATTGCCACAAGTTCATGCAAACCAAGCAGTTGAAAACCTAAAATCTCTCTTATACACATACTCGAGGTTGTGTTGTCATCAATCACCAAAAAGTGGAAGATTGAAAGCATCTAGGCCCCTAGTTGGGTTTCAGTGATTAATGACTACACAAGATTACCGTGACTAACATGTGTTTTGTAGAGGCATTATAAGTTAGGTCATGGTAATGGTGATTGATTAGGCACTTATGGTATTCATGCCCCTGACAATGGAATTTGTTTTAGTTTTCAAAGGATGGATGCCAAGGTTAAGGACGGACTAGTTCTAAGTGTCGTTTGGCATTGAGAGACACTTGGATTAGTTGTAGGACTTTGTTTTTCCTTTGGCCATACTATAAAGGGGGCATGGATGGGTAGCTTGACCTAGGTGTGTCTAGTGAGAAGAATGTGGTGCACATTTGTTAAATCTCGCGCTAGGTAGCTCAGAGGAAGCCCAAGATCATCGGAAGTTGGAAAGCGATTCAAAACGGCGATCGAATTGGAAGTTTGCAGCGCTGGTGGCTGCGGACAGGGCAGTGTGCACCGCCCCTTTTATATAGAGGCTGGGTACTCAGGCTCAATCACCAGACAGGGCACCGCCCCTGGGGTGGTGGTGCCGCCACCATTTATTTCTAGAGAGGGGTGCTTAGGGGGCTTGGTCACCGCCCCTAGGGTGGCGGTGCCACCACCATGAGGGTGGTGGTGCCAGCCCAGCAACAGTCACTTGAAAAATAGCCGTTGGAGTGGCACCAGACAGGGGGTGGCGGTGTGTCACCTTGTTGTCCGGTGACCCTGACTTTGCTAAGTTGGAGGGTAATGGCTAGTTTCTTGGCTTGGGCCTATTTATACCCCTCCATCTCGTGTATTGAGACTCTCTTGCCCATTTGTTCAGCTGAGGAAACCATTTGGTGTGCAAGGGAGAGCAAGAGCCTAGTGGGTTGATTGAGATTTGCTAATCCAAGATTAAGGACCTCATTAGTGCATAGAGAGTAGCAAGTGTGCAACCAGTCTTCTCATTAGGCTTGGTTGGGTCAAGTGAGATTTCGTGCCTGTTACTCTTGGTGATCGCCATCACCTAGATTGCTCGGTGGTGATTGGAAGCTTGGTGATCATTCGGCGGAGCTTGTGGATGACCCAAGTAAAGGTGTGAGCGGTTGTGGGCGATTCACCACAATGGACTGTCGAAGAATCAGCTCGTAGAGAGCACTTGATCCTTGCATGGATCAAGGGGGAGCTACACCCTTGCGCGGGTGCTCCAACGAGGACTAGTGGGAAGTGGCGACTCTCCGATACCTCCAAAAAACATCGCCGCGTTCCTCTTCTTCTCTTTACCTTGAGCATTTACATTTGAGCAATTCAATTCATGTCTTTACATTCTTAGAATTGCCATGCTAGAGTGGGATTGAAACCTAGTGTGCAAAACTTTTATGCGGTAGAACAATAGACACTTCTAGGCACAAGAGGGTGAAATGGGCTAAGTGTAGGGCTTAATTATTGAAAGAAATTTAGAATTAGCTCAATTCACCCCCCCTCTTGGGCATCTTGATCCTTTCATGGAGTTTTTCAAGTTGCTACATGGAATTGAGAGAAAATGGAAGAAGAAAAAGATTCATGCTGCTACAGTACCGCCGCGCGAGCTGCTAGCTTGCTCCAGCGTCGGTGGCCGCTCACCGACCCTTTTTCCACTGCCTTCGCGAGTGCGGGCACGCAGCTGCTTCCCCATCCATGTTGCAAGTTGGAGCTGGACGCCTAGAAGCCTCGCCCTTATCTCGCTGAGCCGGCCACCGTCCTCACTTCTCCTCTTTTTGCCGCCACTATCGAGTCATCAGTTTGCTGCCGATTTCTCCATCCTTGCTCCGCCCCAGTTCAATTGCTCTCACAGCAACGCTTGCCACAACGTTGTGCATTTGCTGAGCCAACTCGCACTACCTCTAGCCACCAGAGTCACCCAGGCGCCGCCGTCTTTCTCGTCACCATTCAGAGCGCCACCACGGCCACCTCCACCGTGGCCAGGCCGCTCCGATGAGTCCCA